ACACTAGTACCATAGCTCAAAAAAGAAGTCATAAGAATCACTTCTTAATCTTTTGGCTAACATCAAATGTAGAATAAAAATCTCTCTGAACCCTGTCCTCTTGGGTTTTTAATGGAGGCAACATTACATAGGTATGATTGTTTAAACCACTGGCTGTTGGTGATCAACATGACCTTCAGCGGGAAATGTTTTGTACTGAATGATAATAAAAACACAACTTATCACAATTTGTGGGTTTAACTAAATTTCCTCAGTGGGAAATTTATTGCTTTTAAAGACTAGAGTAGAAAACATGAAAGGCCTAAAATAAGCCATCTCTGCTTTTACCTTAAGTTAGAAAAGAAAAGTTGTTAAAACTAAAGCAACTAGTATAAGAAAGGAAATACAAATAAAAGCAGAAATCAATGGAATGGAAAATAAACAGTGAAGAGATCAAAGCTAGAGTTGAATCTCTGGGAAAGATTAATAATATTGACAATTCTTAATAAATCTGAAAAACTGGGCTCGGTGGCTCAGCCTGTAATCCTGTGCTTTGGGAAGCTGAGGTGAGTGGATTGCCTGAGCCCGCGGGTTCGAGACCCGCCTGGGCAACTTGACGAGACCTCATCTCTACAATTAAAAAAAAAAATCAGCTGGGCGTGGTAGCACATGCCTATAGTTCCAGCTACTCGGAAGGCTGAGGCGGAAAGATCGCCGGAGCCCAGCAGGTTGAGGCTGCAGTGGTCGGAAGCAGCCACTGCACTCCAGTCTGGGCGATAGAGTGAGACTCCAACTCAAAAAAATTTAAAAAATAAACCTGATAGAGGAAAAAAAGAGAGACATCACTTCATATTATACAGAAATATTTATGCTATGACATTTTACATATGACATTTTAGATTAAATGGACAAATTTCTTTGAAAGATAATGAGTCACCAAAATGGACACAAGAACAAATAGTAAATCTAAATATCCCTATGACTGGTAAAGAAATCAAATCCGTAATTAAATAATGTCCCATTGTTTCTGGAACATCTCAAACTGTGTTTTTCCACTGTTCTCACACCACCACCACAACAAATTTCAACACAGAAGAAGACTTCTGTGACCAAATGTGTGAGGGTTTACTGCCCACCACCAAGCAAGCAATTAATTCTGCAGCAGACACCAACTGGATGTCCTCCAATTCAATTCCAACATTATCTACTTGGAGATAGTGTCAGATCCCACAGGTTGAGGGCTCAATCTCTAAGATTGATCCCCTTCTCACGCAGATGCCAGTTACAAGTCCAGGTCTTCAGAACTTCTGACTGACCATCTTCAATTTGGGGCTCCTATGACCCCCTCTTTAGATTAATTTGATTGAGAAGCTCACAGAACTCAGGTAAAATGTTTGTTATACAGTAGTGCCCCCCCCAACCTTTTTGGCATCAGGAACCAGTTTTGTGGAAGACAATTTTTCCATGGACCTAGGGTGCAAGGGGTATGCAGTTAAACTTCATTGCTAATGTTAATCTATATTTGCAGCCACTCCCCAGCACTAGCATCACCGCCTCAGCTGCACCTCAGATCATCACGCATTAGATTTTCATAAAGTGCACACAACCTAGATTCCTCACATGTGCAGGGTTTGCATGCCTGTGAATCTAATACCACCACTGATCTGACAGGAGGCAGAGCTATGAGGAGTGGCTTTAAATACAGATGAAGCTTTGTTCAGTTGCCTGCTGCTCACCTCCTGCTGTGTGGCTTGGTTCCTAGCAGACCACAGACTTGTAACTGGTCCATGGCCTGGAGGTTGGGAAATTGTTATAAAGGCGATTACATAGGTACAGAGGAAGAAATGCATAGGATGAGGTATGGGGTAAGTGGCACGAACTTTCATTCCCTCTCTGAGTGCTACACCCTCCAGGAACTTTCCAAACCCTGCCCTTTGGGGTTTTTTTGGAAGCTACATTATATAACTGTGATTCATTAAAACATTGGCCATTGGCAATCAACTTGACCCTCAACCTTTCTCCTCCCAGGAAGTTGGGAGTGGAGCTGAAAGTCCCAACTCTTAAACCACGCCTTTGCCTCCTAGTCACCAGCCCCATGCTGGAGCTGTCTACAGTAGGATACACAAAGACACTTGGGAGATTCCAAGGATTTTAGGAGTTATATGCCAGGAAACAGACAAAAACTAAATGTATATTTCACCATGTCACACCCATAAAGAAAATTCTTGGCTAGATCACTTCACTGGCAAATTTTTTTTTTTTGAGTTGGAGTCTCACTCTGTTGCCCAGACTGGAGTGCAGTGGCTGCTCCCAGCCACCGCAGCCTCGACCTGCTGGGCTCCGGCGATCCTTCCGCCTCAGCCTTCCAAGTAGCTGGAACTACAGGTGCACGCTACCACGCCCAGCTAATTTTTTGATTTATTGTAGAGATGAGGTCTCGCCAAATTGCCCAGGCGGGTCTCGAACCCGCGGGCTCAGGCAATCCACTCACCTCAGCCTCCCAAAGGCACCGGATTACAGGCTGAGCCACTGAGCCCGGCTTCACTGGCAAATTTTTATCAGACTTGTAAGTAATAAGTAATATCAATCCTATTTAAATTTTTAAATAAAATATAAGAAATGGGAACACTTTCTAATTTATTTTATGAGGCTCCTATAACCCTCGTACCACAATCAGACAAGAATGATATAGGAAAACAACTTTTTTTTTTTTGAGACAGAGTCTCACTCTGTTGCATAAGCTAGAGTGCAGTTGCGTGATCATGGCTCACCACAGCCTTAAAACTCCTGGGCTCAAGTGATCCTCCAGCCTCAGTCTCCTAAAGAGCTGAGATTACAGATGCACACCACCACACCTAACCCTAATTCATTCTCTCTCTCTCTTTCTTTCTCTTTCTTTTTTTGGGTAGAGACAGGGTCTCACTTTGTTGCCTAGACTGGTCCTGAATTACTAGGCTCAAGCGATCCTCCCTCCACAGCCTTCCAAAGTGCTGGGATTATAGGCACGAGCCACCACCCTGTCCGAAAATTATTGAATAATATTTCTGTGAACATGGGTATAAAAATCCTTAACCAAATAATGGTGAATTGAATCTACTCAGATATAAAAGGGATACTACTTTATAATCAAGTGGAGTTTATTCTAGTAATGCAAGGTTGGTATAATATACAAAAATCAGTTAATGTAATTCACCATGTTAACACACTAAAGGAGAAAAATCATATGATAATTTCAGGAAAAGCTTTTGAAAAGATACAGTTCGCATTTATGATCATCTCTCAGCTGCCTTGCAAACTTTCTTACCTGAATAAAGGCATTTACAGTAAGTGTAAATCTACAGTCCACATCTCACTTAATCATGAAATACTCATTAAGATTAAAAAAAAGACAAGGATATCTACTGTTACTATTGGTGGTCCTAGCCAGCGCAATGAGATAAGAAAAAGAAATAAAAGATAAGTAGATTGGAAAGGAGGAACTAAAATATTCGGTTTTTTCCCAAACAGATAATGTAATTGAGTATTTGGAAAATCATAAGGAATTTAGAAAAAATTACTAGAACTAGTAGTAAGTGAATTTAATAATGTCACAGAATAAAAAGCCAATATACACAATAAGTTGCATGTCTACACTGAAATACACTGAACATTTAGAAAATGAAATTTAAAATAGTTCAGGAAAATAAGCAGGTAATCCATTGGTTTGAATTCTAGGGCTGGCTGAGAAGCCTCATAGTGTCATTAAGTGATCTAAGTTTCTTTCGTAGAGCATGGTCTGTGAACGCTGTTGAAACTTCAGCTATCAGAGTCACATTCCAGGCTGGAATATGGAGGAAGGGTAAACTGAAATTTTTTTAAAAAATAACTGGGCACGGTGGCTCAAGCCTGTAATCACAGCACTTTGGAAGGCTGAGGCAAGAGGATTGCCTGAGCTCAGGGGTTCAAGATGAGCCCAAACAATTTGGCGGGATCTCATTTCTACAATAAATCAAAAAATTAGCTACACGTGGTAGTGCATGCCTGTAGTTCCAGCTATTTATAAGGCTGAGGCAGAAAGATTGCCCGAGCCCAGCAGGTCGAGGCTGTGGTGGCCGTGAACCCGCCACTGCACTCCAGCCTGGGTGATAGAATGAAAACCACAACTCAAAAAAAAAGCAAAACTAAAACTCTCCAGTTTTCTCAACTCTATTTAAAAAGATCCTTCCTGGAAGTCTCATATGATACTTTAACTTAGAGCTTATTAGTCATACTTAAGTCACATGGTAACACTGAGAAATGTAGTCTTTTTTTGTTTGTTTTTGTTTTTGAGTTATGATTTCATTCTGTCACCTGGACTGGAATGCAGTGACGGCTCACTACATCCTTGAACTCTGAGCTCAAGTGATCCTCCTAATTTTTGTGTGTGTGTGTTTTTTATTTTTTAAAGAGATGAGGTTTTGCTTTGTTGACCAAGTTGGTCTTGAATTCCTTCCGTCTCAGCCTCCCAAAGTTATGGGATTATAGGTGTGGAATGCCATGTTTGGTGAGAAATGTAGTCTTTATTGTAGACGACAGTCTGGCTCGGTTAAATGTCAAGGGTCTTATTTTATGGACAGAGGAGGTAATGGATGTTAGGATAGACAACATTCTCAGCCAGAAACAACCTTTAGGCTAACTGTTAGATTTGCAGCATATAAAAGAAAATTCTACTACAATGGCTTCAACAAAACCAATGTTTTTCTCTTATTTAAAAATAGTCCTGGGGAAGGTTGAGGCTGCAGTAAACTTGAATTATGCCTCTGCACTCCAGCCTGTGTAACAAGAGTGAGACACTATCTCAAAAAAAAAAAAAAAAAAAGTCCTGGGGAAATATCTCAAAAAAACAAAAAATAGAGAGAAAAGGACAATTATGTTAGGAGTCTGCTGCACTTAGTATTTTTGTTTTTGACAGCTAAATACTGGGATGGGTGGTATGCTGCTCTCCTTCAGTGTCATCTTTGACAAGCAGCTATATAGTCATGTTAACTCTTGTTCCTCCTCAGAGACAACGGACCCCAGATAGCCTATGTTCGGGACTTCAAGGCAAAGGTTCAGTATTTCCGGTTCTGGTGTCAGGTTAGTATTGGGACTGTATCTCTGTACTCCTTTTCCTTTGTTGTGTTGCTTTTATTACACAGTGATTGTGAAAATAATTAACCCATGGAAAAACAGGTAAAGTGGGAAGCATTAGAATCTATTTCCTCTTTTTTTTTGAGTTGGAGTCTCCAGTCTGTCGCCCAGACTGGAGTGCAGTGGCCGCTCCCAGCCACTGTAGCCTCAACCTGCTAGGCTCCGGCGATCCTTCTAAGTAGCTGGAACTACAGGCGCGCACTACCATGCCCAGCTAATTTTTTGATTTATTATAGAGGTGAGGTCTCGCCATTAGGGAAAGGGATAGATTTTATCCATTAGATAATTTGTGGCTTCTGTTGTTTAGAAAGTTAAGCTTGAAATTATTTAAATAAGAAAACATTGTCACTTTTTCCTCAGTCCCATTACCTTCAGATTATAGAAATTTTCAAATATAAGTTAAAACATTTCTGTTGTAATTGTAATCGGCCACTTTTATATCTAGCATTTGATAAAAATGGCCTTGATTGATAAATACATGAAAATCTCTGTACCTACGTGTTAAAATCAGAGTGTTTTGTTTTTGGTTTTTTTTGTGTGTTGGAGTCTCACTCTGTCACCCAGACTGGAGTACAGTGGCCGCTCCCGGCCACCACAGCCTCGACCTGCTGTGCTCCGCCTCAGCCTTCCGAGTAGCTGGAACTACAGGCGCATGCTACCACGCTCGGCTAATTTTTGATTTATTGTAGAGATGGGGTCTCGCCAAGTTGCCTAGGCGGGTCTCGAACCCGCGGGCTCAAGCAATTCACTCACCTCAGCCTCCCAAAGTGCTGGGATTACAGGCTGAGCCGCTGAGCCCGGCTTCAGAGTGTTTTTTTAATGAGATGTGATCACATATTTCCAGTGTACATTTACTTGGATTAATGATTTTTTATGAGCTCTAGATAAAATGAATGCATTAGTCAAAGTGTTACCATGATGAATATTTGTAAACTTCAAACTCTTATAATTAACTGGACCATTGGAAGCAAGAAGAATCTGAATGAACTGAAAGTAAAATTGAGTGAAAATTTATTTGACTCATTATTGAGAAAGCACTGTGCATATGAGATATTGTTTTCTGTTTTTCATATATTAAATAATTTATAGTTAGCAAGAGTGTTCACAAATGCTTTGGAAAACATTATTGAATATAAATTCATATTCATTCTACTTATTTCTTATTTACTTATAAAAGTAAATAAAACTTTTCCCCTTTTGGTTTTTTGATAGGCTATTTTAATGATGAGAGTTGACTTAAGTCATTCTTATATTTCAGCAACTGGCCATGCCACAGCATATAAAGATTACAGTGACAAGAAAAACATTGTTTGAGGATTCCTTTCAACAGGTACTGTTTCATTTATTCAATGGTTCTCCCCCTAGCTGTCACCTTTTGGTGTTGGCAGTTTAATCTGAACAGTTTGGAGCTTCTTGAGTTGTAGTTCTTGAAATTTTTAAATCTAATCTTATTGCCAGCTACCTTCACACTTAACATTGAGGAACATTTAGAGGTGTGTGTGTGTTGTGTGTGTCATGTGTGTTGTGCTTTTTGTTTTGTTTTGTTTTTTAATTGGGGTCTCACTGTCTTGCCCAGGTTAGAGTGCAATGGCACAATCATGGCTCACTGCAGCTTCAGGCTCAGGATGATCCTTCTGGTTCTTCCTCCTGTAGCTGGGACTACAGACCTGCACATCATGCCTAGCCATCAAAGAGAGCCTTCAGGGTTTAAATCCTTTATTTAATGACCCCCAAGCATCAGCAAGGACTATTTCTCATTCTAAGGGATGAGTTACTATGTGGAAGCAACATAGAAGCAGAACCTTGTTAGATGGGTGGAAATGAGAGAAGACTTTGTTTTTATACTTCTGCATTACTTAATTTTTACAAAAGTCTGTGTTACACTTATCATTAAACATTTTCTTAATGTAGGTAAGAAAGTATTTGGTCATTGGCATGAGTTTTCAGCTATAGTCAATTTTTCACTTGTTCTCAGAGCCTAAGTTCATTTACTATTTACCTTATCTTGCAGATATCACAAACAACTATCAAGTAAACATTAAGTGATTGTATAATAGAGAAAACTTAAGTGACCAGTAAAAAGAAGGCCTTAAAACATCTGATTAGTCCTTATTTTGTAGCCAGATATGGAAGTGATTTTTTATTTTTGCACATTTGTGATACTGTAGTAGCTACAGCTTTAAGAAGTATCAAACTGAGCGGGGCTTGGTGGCTCAGCCTGTAATCCCACGCTTTGGGAGGCTGAGGTGAGTGGATTGCCTGAGCCCGCGGGTTCAAGACCCGCCTGGGCAACTTGGCGAGACCTCATCTCTACAGAAAATCAACAAAAAAAAAAAAAAAGTACCAAACTGAATGCAAAGGGAAAAGCGTTGACGGTAGCTGACTACTTGCTTTTATAAACCGTTATGTTCATTTCCTAATGGAGCCTCAGTTATTAACATTAAAGGAAAAGCTGATTGGCATCCTACTGTGTAGGAACAGGCAGCATTTTAGGGGGAGCTGGACCTTGACTTGAGGCCATTAGAGAATTACAAATAATTTCCTTGATCTGATGTGTCAAAGGCCATTCCCCACTCCAGTGCTTGGCTTTTTCTACTTTTTATATTCATAACCATCCTTTCATCACTGAGCAGTCAGTCTCTGTTGGGACAGTTTCTTTAAAAAGAACTTGCTGGTAGCAGTGCTGAAAGGATGCAAAACATGATTAAACTGTTTCTGTATCTTTTGATGTTTGAAATCTAAAGACTTTTCCAACCGTTGTTTAAAGCTGTCACCCTGTATTTAACATCTACCAAAAAAATAGTTTATAAAAAGTTAAAATTTGATTGCTTAAGGGTAACAAATCTAACAGCAAAATTAGCATCACATTTTCTGATAACTGTTGGACAAAATTGCTCTGGTAGCACTTCTTCTGTCAACATGGCACAACTGGTTATGAGGGAAACTGTAGGAGAAAAAAAAATTTTTTCCTTTCATATTAGGCATTTGTTAACAGGAATTACTTAAAGATAGTTTAGGATGAACATGGTGGTTCATACCTGTAATCCTAGCACTTTTGGAGGTCAGGGTGAGAGAATTGCTTGAGATCAGTTTGAGATCAGCTTAGACAACATAGTATCTATGACAATAAAAAAAAATAGCCAGGTGTGGTGGTATGCGCCCGTAGTAGTCCCAGCTACTCAGGAGGCTAAGGCAGAAAGATCGTTTGAAACTAGGAGGTTAAAGGTGTGTAGTAAACTGTGATCATGCCACTTCACTCCAGCCTGGGTGACAGAGTGATACTCTGACTCAAAAAAGAACAAAACTGATAGTTTAGTTTTGTGACATTTCTCATTTGTGATACTATATATCTAGCTTATGGTATTTGTAATATGTTTGTCATAAACATGTTCATATGTCATAAGCATTTAATTGAATTTTTTTTTATCATACCTGGGATTTTCTTGTTTGGGTGGGATGTGAATTCATAAAAGTAATATATCCATTTTGTGATGAACTAAGAGAACAGGAACTGAGTAAATAGGTTACTTACTGATTCTCTCTGGATATATAAATGTGAGAGTTTATTCTCATCACTGGACAAAAACCAGAAATTTTATCACCTTCTCCCTCTCTGGGCCCATCCATTTTTTTCCTGAAGAGTGATTAATATATGCAATACTGTGCTCACCCAATTTTGGTCAAATAGTACATAGGGGGAACCAAATGGCCTATCAATGTAGCTCAGTAATGATACTGTTCTTCAGTGGCGATTCTGTTAACCACCTATAGTGGGACACAAAATTTGAGTAGTTTTTCTGGCTATGTATAGGTTACCACTGAGAATGAGTTTCCAAAGTTTTCTGGGTTCTTTCTATAGCCACTGGTTTTTATTTCTAGGATAGCCAATTAGCTGTTATGTACTTTTGGCTGTGAACTAATGCCAAACCTAACGAAACCAAAAATCACTATCTAACCCCTGACTAAGGCTGTAGTTACTCTGTGCTCTAAGCAATTGATGTAAGCAACTTTATAAGTCAGTAGTAGCATTATTAAAAGTAAAGCCATGTGTGTGTAAAGTATATAAAAATATAAATATGTATATAAATATCATGAAACTTAAAGAATTTTCTACATGTGTGGTTTTGACTACACAGTCAATACCATTCTATGTCATGGGGGATTTAAGTTTCCTATAATGAAGGAAATTTCAGAGCTGGAAGTGGTAGACAATGTTTCAAGAACTTCTTTCACCAATTTTTTTGCATTTTTTTTTCATAGATAATGAGCTTCAGTCCTCAAGATCTGCGAAGACGTTTGTGGGTGATTTTTCCAGGAGAAGAAGGTTTAGATTATGGAGGTGTAGCAAGGTAGTGATAATATGAATACTCAGAACTTAGTTCCTTTCCTCCAAAGGTACCATTACACTTTGCTTGCAAGTATTACTTTCTCAATCTTATATTTTAGGAAAATGAAATGTAGTAATTATATCTTTTTAGGTACAGAGTTTCGGCAAATATCAATTCGGTACTTTCTGTATCACATATTTAATCCTCAGGATAATCCTGTAAAACAGAATTTTCCAGGTGATAAAGACATTTAGAGACTCACCTAACACACATAATAAGTTGTAGAACCTGGACGCAAACTTGTATCATCTAACCAGTGGCCAGTGTTCAGTCAACTACCTCATATCTTCCACAAAGCACGTAAGACTCTATAGTGATCAGGACGTTTTTCCCCACCACAGATTACAGAGATAGATAATAGTCACTCAGTTGCCAACTGAGATTAACATATCTATCATGAGAATATAAAAGACTGTATAAAATAGGAGTTTGAAGTCTTAATTCCGCTTTCCTTATATTGGAGCTTCTAATCCAATATTAAAAATTTGCAAAGCAGGTCGGATACAGTGCTTCACACCTATAATCCCAACACTTTGGGTGGCTGAGGTGAGAGGATTGCCTGAGCTGACAGGTTCAAGACCAGCCTGGGCAACTTGCTGAGACCTCATCTCTACAATAAATCAAAAAATAAATAAATAAATTACAAAGCAGTGGCATTATGCAAATCCAAGGACTTTAGGGTCAAGACTGGACACTTTGGGAGAGGATTTTGTGAGAGGATTGCCTGAGCCCAGGGGTTCAAGACCAGCCTGGACAACTTGGCAAAACCTCATCTCTATAATAAATTTTAAAAAATTAGCCAGGCATGATGCTGTACACCTATAGTTCCAGCTACTTGGAAGGTGGAGGCGGAAGGATTGCCTGAGCCCAGCAGGTTGATGCTGTGGTAGCCATGATCATGCCACTGCACTCCAGCCTGGGCAGCTCCAACTGCAAAAAAAAAAAAAAGACTGCATTTGAATCTTTTTTCTGCTCCCAGTAGTATGACCTTGGCCAAGTATCTTCATCTGTAAAATAAGAGTAGTAATGTCTACCTTTCCAGGATTATTGTAAAGAGTGGAAATATTAATTATTAATGACCTAATTCAGAGCCTGAGTCTTTGTATACTAACTACTGACTATAGTAGTTCTATTTATCTTACATTTCCACATTTAAATAAAACTATTTCAAAATATATGAAGTAATCACAGATAAATAATGAATAGAAGCATTTCATTTTGTATAAGTTAAAGATAACTGAAAAAGAGGACAATCTTCTTCCTTTTTCCTTTTTTTTTTTTGAGTTGGAGTCTCACTCGGTTGCCCAGACTGGAGTGCAGTAGCTGCTCCCGGCCACCGCAGCCTCAACCTCCTGGGCTCCGGCGATCCTTCCGCCTCAGCCTTCCAAGTAGCCAGAATTACAGGCATGCGTACCATGCCCAGCTGATTTTTTTTTTTTTTTATTGTAGAGATGAGGTCTCGCTGCCCAGGCGTGTCTCGAACCCGCGGGCTCAGGCAATCCACTCACTTCAGCGTCCCAAAGGCACGGGATTACAGGCTGAGCCACCGAGCCCAGCTTCATTCTTTTTCTTTTCTTTTTTTTTTTGAGGGGGATGGAGTCTCATTCTGTCGCCCAGACTGGAATGCAGTGGCTGCTCCTGGCCACCGCAGCCTCGACCTGCTGGGCTCCGGCGATCCTTCCGCCTCAGCCTTCCACATAGCTGGAACTACAGGCACGCGCTACCACGCCCGGCTAATTTTTTTTGATTTATTGTAGAGATGAGGTCTCGCCTGCCCAGGCAGGTCTTGAACCCGCGGGCTCAGGCAATCTACTCACCTCAGCCTCCCAAAGGCGTGGGATCAGGCTGAGTCACCGAGCCCGGCTATCTTATTCATTCTTAATCAGAAAGTCAGCTATATTCAAGTATAAGTAGCATGGCCACCAGAGGCCTGAATTAACAAGAAGAGAGGTCTGGTGTACAAGATGATGCCACATGTACTGCCCCACATCTGCTCTACCACCTGTGTTAAATAATTTTAGTAACTATAATGTTATGTTAATATGGGTTTGAATTTTCACAGCATCTGAATTAGTTTCTCAGGGAATTTTTATAATAAATGAGTGACTGTAATAAGTGCTTTACTGACTGAAATTGGAAGACTTCATATTCATCTAAGATGTACAGAGTAGTGGCACTTAATGGGGATCATTATGGAACTTAGAAATAGATGAAATATGAGCCCACGGGTTTGAGAACAGCCTGGACAACTTGTTGAGACCTCATCTCTACAATAAACTAAAAAAAAAAAAAAACTATCCAGGAATGGTGGCATATGCCTATGGTTTCAGCTCCTTGGAAGGCTGAGGTATAAGAATCGTCTGAGCCCAACAGGTCGAAGCTGCACTCCAGCCTGGGCAGCAGAGTGTGACTCCCACGCAAAAAAAAAAAAAAGAAAGAAAGAAAGAAATAGATGAAATATTTGACTTATTTTAGCCACTCTAATCACATGGATCAACAATGTATTTTAAATGTACCTATGTATAGTATTTCACTGATTCTAAGACTAACATTTTCATATGTTAATGTCTCTGAAATTGGGATGCATAGCCCAAGTATAATTGAAAAAAAATTTTAGTGGTTCATCAAGTAAAGTTGTAATACTGTCTTAGATTCTTTGAAATATAATAATGAGCAGTTGTATAGCCCTCATCTTTGTAAAACAGATGAGAGTTTGAACAGAAGCAGTCAAAATCAACATGAGATTAGAAAACTATCACCAGCTGAGGTGTATTCCTGAGAACTTTGTAGCATTGCTCTTTGATTTGTTGGCATGGTTATTTACAAGATTTTTCATCCTAAGTTTTCTTTTGATTTCAGAGAATGGTTCTTTCTTTTGTCACATGAAGTGTTGAACCCAATGTATTGCCTGTTTGAATATGCAGGGAAGGATAACTACTGCTTGCAGATAAACCCCGCTTCTTACATCAATCCAGATCACCTGAAATACTTTCGTTTTATTGGCAGGTTTATTGCCATGGTAAGTACAGGTGAAGAACTGAAGAACTGTGTGTTTACTTTGCTAATTGAGCAATACTAAATTTTCTTCTATATGCTATAGCAGATCTTATGACAGAAAAGTTTTTTAAAAGAAGGATTAATCTAACATTGTGAAGTAAGATAACTGTTGCATAGTTATCCTAACTGGCATTGTTTCCTTTTTTAATAGGCTCTGTTCCATGGGAAGTTTATAGACACAGGTTTTTCTTTACCATTCTATAAGCGTATCTTGAACAAACCAGTTGGACTCAAGGATTTAGAATCTATTGATCCAGAATTTTACAATTCTCTCATCTGGGTTAAGTAAGTTTCTGTTTCCCTTTAATTTACTAAAATACGGTTTATTTGCTTTCATTATGGCATTGGTATACATGTGTAATTGGTTCTTTAATTTAAGGATCAAACCTGTCATGTTATTCAGCAGTAAATTTTACAAAAACACACCCAAGATCTTAGGCAATAATATGAAAATCTTAGAGCACTATCTTCCAATTTCTTCTTATTTTGATGTTAAAGTTTAATATTAATTATTTAAGAACATAGGCCTTTAATTTAAAGCTTTTAAATTATGATTGAATTGGTGAATATAACCAACAGTGCTAATTTCATTTGTACAGAGAAAACAATATTGAGGAATGTGGTTTGGAAATGTACTTCTCTGTCGACAAAGAAATTCTAGGTGAAATTAAGAGTCATGATTTGAAACCCAATGGCGGAAATATTCTTGTAACAGAAGAAAATAAAGAGGAATACATCAGGTGAGCAATTGCACCCTTGGACATAGTTTACCCTTTTGTTGGATTGCAGCATGTTGATAATTGCCTACTAATACCAATGGGCAGTATCTCAAAATTCATTTGTCTTTGTACTCATCATTATCTTATCTAGGCAGTTATTTCTCATTTCTAAAAATAGATGCTTGTTTATTTATTTATTTTACATTTATTTTTATTTTTTATTATAGAAGTAAAGATGGCATCTTGCTATGTTGTGCAGGCTGATCTTGAACTCTTGGCCTCAAGTGATCCTCCTACTTTGACCTCCCAAAGTGCTGGGATTATAGGCAGGCACAAGCTACTACACTTGGCCAAAAAGAGGTCTTCAGAAGTGTTGTTAAAAGAGCTATAAGTACTGGGTGCAGAAATAGTGCTAAATAATCCCAGCATTTTGGGAGCCAAGGTAAGAGGATTGCCTGAGCCCACAGTTTCAAGACTACTCTGGGCAACTTGACAAGACCTTGTCTCTACAATAAATTTTAAAAAAATTAACGAGGTGTGGTGGCGCACACCTGTAGTTCCAGCTATTGGAAGGTTGAGGTGGAAGGATCACCTGAGTCCAGCACGTTGAGGTTGTGGTGACCATGAGTGTGCTACTGCACTCCAGCCTGGGGAGCAGTGAAACTCTGACTCAAAAAAAAGAGCTTTAAGGGTAACAGTCATTCTAGATCACTGTTTTAAATACCAATTCTATAACCACTATACTATATAACATGTCATTTAAAAAGAATCTCAAATATATGTGTAGATATTTTCATGGGGAATACTGCAAGATAAGGTAAAATTTACAAGTAAAGCAAGGGTTTAATGTATATCCTAATTCTTTGCGTTCATACTTCTAGTCTCAAGAGTTATTGGTTCATATTAGTTGTTAGTTCATTCATATCTATCTTATCAACAGTAATTCTGTGTGAACCATATATCAGTTTCTTCTTAAGTTCCAGTTTCTGGACTACTTGCCTAGTTTTCCTCCGTAATTAAAAGTACACTGTTTAACACACTGGTAAATAAGCTATCCTTTAAAAAATTTAATTAATTAAAAATATCCTTTTAAAAATCTAGTTGGTTCTTGTTATTTTTTTTTCCATTTTTTGTTTTTTTCTGTTTAATGACGAGTCTAGATTTTGTTATGGCATATTTAGTATTCTAGAGAGGGAATGATTCAAGATTCCAAGTAAATAAGAAATATACTGTGATCGTCAATAGTCTTGTTATCAGTAGTATAACATTTTAGGATAATAAACAGCAAGAATGCTTACCATTTCAGAGTTGTTGGATTTTAAAAAATATTTTTGTAAGAAGTATAATTTAACCGGGGTTGGTGGCTCAGCCTGTAATCCCGCGCCTTGAGAGGCTGAGGTAAGTGGATTGCCTGAGCCCGCGGGTTTGAGACCCGCCTGGGCAACTTGGAGAGACCTCATCTCTACAATAAATCAAAAAATCAGCCGGGCATGGTAGCGCATGCGTGTAATTCCGGCTACTCAGAAGGCTGAGGCGGAAGGATCGCCGGAGCCCAGCAGGTCGAGGCTGCGGTGGCCGGGAGCAGCTACTGCACTCCAGTCTGGGCGACAGAGTGAGATTCCAACTCCAAAAAAAAAAAAAAGAAGTATAATTTAGCCGTGCGTGTTTGCTCACGCCTATAATCCCAGCACTTTGGGAGGCCAAGACGAGAGATTTGCCTGAGCTCACAGGTTCGAAACCAGCCTGGACAACTTAGTGAGACCTCATCTCTACAATAAATAAAAAAATTACCTGGGCGTAGTGGCACGTGCCTATAGTCCTGGCTACTTGGAAGGTTGAGACGGCAGGATTGTCTGAGCCTAGCAGGTTGAGGTTGCGGTAGCAGTGAGCGTACCACTGCACTCCAGCCTGTGCGACAGAGTGAGACTCCAACTTAAAAAAAAAAAGTATAATTTACTTAGAATAAAACACACTGATCCTAAATGCACAGTATGCATTTGAGAGATGTGTATATCAGCCCAAATGTGAGCATTCTAAGGGTAGAAATAGTGCTAAATCACTCTTGCAGTTCTGTAAATGCTGTTCTGTATAACCTCATGTTTGTGTAAACATGACCCAAGTCGAATTATGAAACATTTTTTTTCTTCTTGACCCCATAAAGGGGCAGTACCATACACATCTCCCTTCCCCTAGCCCAGAGGTAACCAGTTATGTTCAGTTCTATTTCCATAACTGTGTATGATCTTGAAGTTCTTTTAATGCAGTCATCTGGTCTGTGGTTTTGTGTGTGACTTTTTGTGACTGGTTTCTTTTATACGATGTTTGTGAGATTTAGCCATATTGTATATTTTATTCCTTTTTATTGCTGAAAAGTATTCCTTGCTTTGTATATATTGAAATTTGTTTATCCATTCTTTTGTTGATGGACATTTGGGTTGTTTCCTGTTTTAGGGGTAGTATAAGTAAAATTGCCCCGCGAACATTCTTGTTGAACTTTTATTGGTGGACATATTTATCTTGGGGAAATACCTAAGAATGAAACTACTAGGCTTAGGATAGGTATTTACTTGTATAAGAAACTGCTGGCCTGGCTTGGTGGCTCAGCCTGTAATCCCAGCACTTTGGGAGACTCAGGTGAGTGGATTGCCTGAGCCCGAGGGTTTGAGACCAGCCCAGGCAACTTGGTGAGACCTCATCTCTACAATAAATCAAAAAATTAGCCAGGTGTGATAGGATGCACCTATGGTTCTTAAAGTTGTACCATTTTACAATCCTGCTAGAGTTGCTTTACATTCTTGGCAACTCAGTATTGTCAGTTAGTATCTCATTGTGGTTATAATTTTATTTCACCCTTGATTAATAGTGCTCAGTAACTGGTTTTGTTTGTTTTGTTTTGTTTCCTAAATGGGGTCTCACTCTGTTGCTCAGTCTGGAGTGCAATGGCACAGTTGTGATTCACTGTAGCCTCTACCTCCTGGGCTCAGGTGATCCTTCTTCCTCAGCCTCCTTGAGTAGCTGGGATTACAGGCGTGTGCCACTACATCCGGCTAATTTTGTTTAGTCTTTTTTTTAGCGGCGAATCTGATGATTATAATAATATATATCTTTAATGTATCCATGTCTACCTAAAATTAATATTACAATACTTCCTGTACAATATAAAAAGCTCATGATAGTATAGCTCTGTTTACCTCATTCCAGCTATTTGTGGTATTATTGTCATATTTTATTTCTACATATGTTATAAATATAATACCTTATTACTATTTTTCTTGTTTTAAGAAATCAATAGATTTTTAAGGAAATTAAGGAAGAATAATCTTTTATATTTACTCACACTACCATTCTGATTCTCCTCATTTCTTCTCACAGATCTATTTCTTTATCTAGAATCATTTCCCTTTGGCTTTAAAATTTTTCTTTTCCCTTTCTCTTTTTTTTTGATTCAGAGTCTCACTCTATCCTCTAGGCTGGCTTATAGTTGCATGATCATGGCTACTGCAGCCTCAATCTGCTGGACTCAGGCAATCCTTCTGCCTCAGCCTTACAAGTAGCTGAAACTGCAGACATGTGCCACCACACCCAGCTAATTTTTTCTATTTATTGTAGAGATGAGGTCTTGCCATGTTTCCCAGTCTGGTCACTAACCCCAGGGCTCAGCCATTCCTCTCTTCTTGGCCTCCCTAAGTGCTGGGATTATAGGCGTGAGCCACCATGCCCAGCTTCTTTACCTTTTATCTTAGTGTATATTTGCTGACAATAAATTCTCCTAGCTTTTACATTAAAACATTTTTATTTTACTTTTATTTTTTTATTTCATTTTCATTTTTAAGGATAGACTCGCTGGATTTAAGAATTCCTTGTTTATAGAATAATAATGTGGTTATGTTTTTATAGGTTATGTTTTCATTCCTGCTAGTAAAGTATCCTTAAAAACTAAAATTAAAAAATAAAGTTTTTGCTTTTAAAGGAGTCTTCGTGTTGTAGAGACATACTGAAATACTTGCTAAAAATGAAATTATGATATCTAGAATATGAGTACAGGCCTAGAAGAAATAAGATTGGCATTGTGATGAAACTTGGACATGTGTACACGGGGGTTTGTTATACCCTACTTTTGGTATATATTCTAAGTTTTTCAAAATAAGTTTTAAAAATGTATTTGTATATTCAAAATTTAAAGGTTAACTCTAAACTTTATTTATTTACCAGGATGGTAGCTGAATGGAGATTGTCTCGAGGTGTTGAAGAACAGACTCAAGCCTTTTTTGAGGGCTTTAATGAGATTCTTCCCCAGCAATATTTGCAATACTTTGATGCCAAGGAATTAGAGGTAATGAGTTTTTCTTCATTCTTCTGTACCATACTATTAAATAATGCCATCAGGTGTTTACTTTCAACTCACTTTCCCATCTTTCCAATTGTAGTAGTGTTTTTTATGCTGGCAAGATGTTTCAAAATATCCCCTGTGGTTAAAGAAAAGCATAATTTACCCAAAGATAAAAGTAGAATATTATCTCCCCAAAAAGTACTACTATTAGGACTACTCTACAGTTGTGTGACTTACTAATATTTCCCTGGGCTGGGTGCGGTGGCTCACACCTATAATCCCAATACTTTGAGAGGCCGAGGTGAGAGGATTACCTGAGTCCAGGGATTTGAGACCAGCTGGGCAACTTGGAGTGACCTCGTGTTTACAGTAAATTGAAAAATTAGCTGGGCATTGGGACACACGTCTGTAGTTCCAGCTATTTGGAAGGCTAAGGTGGAAGGATCACCTGAGCCTAGCAGGTCAAGTGGCAGCGAGTGTGCCTCTGCATTCCTGTCTGGGCAACAGAGTGAGACTCCAACTCAAAATATATCTATATACTTCCCTGAACACTTGTATATATGATACCATATGATGGAACTTTGAGTTCATGAGTAATATGGATATAGTCCTTGATGTATAGTTTATAAGACAAAGCCTGCTGATCAGTTTGTTCTTCTGAAGTTTTAATATTAGCCTTTCCTTATGTATGATGTCCAGCATTTTTGTACAGTTATGTAGGAAAACAATTTTTCTTTTTCATCCCTAAAGGTCCTTTTATGTGGAATGCAAGAAATTGATTTGAATGACTGGCAAAGACATGCCATCTACCGTCATTACACAAGGACAAGCAAACAAATCATGTGGTTTTGGCAGGTTTGTTTCCATACTTATTTCTATTAGTAGACACTGCATAATTTTTTAAAATGTGCTTACTACATATGGTAATAAGTCACAGAACAAAATATACAGTGTGTGTAAGTCCCTCAGTACATCCTATGCATTACAATAAAAGAATGCAGATTATAATAGTATCCTTGTACAATTGCTGCTAAGTAATTGCAGCTTTGCCCAGAGTAGAGTATAATACAATTGTGGATGATAAGACTTACCTGCATTTGATTTAAATACTTTTGGGATTTTATAGAACTATCTAAAGTATGGTTTTCATCATTCATACTTCATTAAGAAGTATATAATATCCAGAACGAAAAATTTTAAGAGACCTGGCTTAAAATCATAATGGGATTTCTTGGGGGGGGTATAAATGTCTGCTATAAGCATAGAAGAATATGCTCAACATCACTAGTCATTTGGGAAATGCAGTTTAAACTACAGTTAGATCCCACTTCGTACCTATTAGTATAATTTTTTTTTGTTTTTGTTTTTTTGAGTTGGAGTCTCACTCTGTCGCCCAGACTGGAGTGCAATGGCCGCTCCCAGCCACCGCAGCCTCGACCTACTGGGCTCCGGCGATCCTTCCACTTCAGCCTTCCAAGTAGCTGGAACTACAGGCGTGCGCTACCACGCCCGGCTAATTTTTGATTTATTGTAGAGATGAGGTCTCATCAAGTTGCCCAGGTGGATCTTGAACCCACGGGCTCAGGCAATCCACTCACCTCAGCCTCCCAAAGTGCTGGGATTACAGACTGAGCCACTGAGTCGGGCCTAGTCTGTCACTTTTAATGGCTGCATAGTATTCCATTTATGAATGAATGTATAGAGATTCTTTAATGTGTACCATTAAATATTTAGGTGATTTTTCAGTTTTCGGCTTTTTTTTTTTTTGAGTTGGAGTCTCACTCCATTGCCCAGACTGGAGTGCAGTGGCCACTCCCGGCCACCACAGCCTCCACCTGCTGGGCTCCAGCGATCCTTCTGCCTCAGCCTTCCAAGTAGCTGGAACTACAGGCGCGCACTACCACGCCCAGCTAATTTTTTGATTTGTTGTAGAGATGAGGTCTCGCCAAGTTGCCCAGGCGAGTCTCGAACCTGCGGGCTCAGGCAGTCCACTCACCTCGGCCTCTCAAAGTGCTGGGATTATAGACTGAGCTACCGAGCCCGGCCAGTTTCATTTTTTTAATGGAAAATAACGGTTGTTGGTGGAAAAATTAGAAACCTCATATAGTGCTGTTGGTACTATAGAATAGTGTATTGCCATGGAAAATAGTTTGACACTTCCTCAAAACAGTAAATTTAGAATTCACAAAAGACCCAGGAATTCCAAACACCCAAAAGAATTGAAAGTAGGACTCAAATGGCTACTTGTACACCGGTATTCTTGAAAGTATTATTCCACTGCACCAAATGGTGAAAGCAGCCTGAATGTCCATTGAAAAATTATTGGATAAACAATATATGGCATATACATATCCAGATGCTCCTCAACTCAGAATGTCCTAGTAAACTGGTTCCTTTTAAGTAGTATCACTTGAGTCCCAGAGTTCAAGATCAGCCTGATCAACATAGTGAGGGCCCCCAACTCTACAAAAAAATTTAAAAGAATAAAAACTGGTCATTGACTTACTATACTCTTATGCAGTCATGTGCTCTTTGAGCTATGGCCATTGTCATGTTTCACAGCTTTGGCCCCCTTCCCTACCTTGGGGAGGTGAATCCTCTCTCTCTCTCTCGCTCTCTCGCTCTTTCTAATTTACTTTCTAAATAAATTATATTTTCTAACCTAAAAAAAATAAAAATGGCTGGGCTCAGTGGCTCAGCCTGTAATCCCACGCTTTGGGAGGCCGAGGTGAGTGAATTACCTGAGCCCGCGAGTTCGAGACCTGCCCGAGCAACTTGGTGAGACCTCATCTCTACCATAAATCAAAAATTAGCCGAGCATGGTAGCTCGCACCTGTAGTTCCATCCATTTGGAAGGCTGAGGCAGAAGGATCGCCGGAGCCCAGCAGGGCGAGAGTGCAGTGGCTGCTCCCAGCCACTGCACTCCAGTCTGGGCAACAGAGTGAGACTCCAATTCAAAAAAAAAATAAAAATAAAAACGATTATAGGCCAAAATTATCATGTGGCCAAGAATGTATTTAAAACCCCAATAGACCCATTGTAAAGGCAAAAATCGACATGTTGAACCATCCTAAGTGCAGATGCTCATCTACTTATGATAGAGACATGTAATCTCAATAAACCCATTGTAATGTGAAAAAATCATAAGTTGGGCCCATCTGCAATGGAATATCACTCTGCCGTAAAATGGAAATGAAAATTTTGAATAAAAGCATGAATTTTAAGATAAGTGAAATAAGTCAGATGCAAAAGAACAAATATTGTATGAATCCACTTAGACGAGGCCCTAGGATGGGCAAGTTTATAGAGGCAGAAAGTAGAATAGAGGATAACAGGCTGCAGGGAGTAAGAGTGGGAACTTGTGTTTAATGTGTACATAGTTGTTTTTTGGAGTGTTGAAGAAGTTTTGGAAATAGTGTTGATGCTTCCACAATATTGTGAAAGTACTTAATGCCATTGAATTTTACACTTAAAATGGTTAAAAAAGTGAATTTTATGTTGTGTATGTTTTATCACAATTTAAATAATTTTAAAATGTCTGTCATACATGTAAAGAAATACATATGAGACACTGAAATGAGATGAACTTCTGTAACAAGTAGAGTTAGTGTTTTGAAACAGTTGATAGTAGTACAGCAAGATAAAAATTGTTCTGTACCAAAAAATATTTTGTGGAGCCAAAATAGTTGTGGTACAGGCTAGAAATGTTGTCCAGAAACCTGATGTTTTGAGTCAGAATTGTAGAGGTAAAAAAACCACATAATTTTTACTATGTAACTATACCAAAACCTAAAGAACATTGATAAAAGGTTATAGAGATATGTCTGTATCAGAATTCTGTGAACTTGATTTCAGTTGTTGATAAAAATCAAGCAGTCTGTACTGACTAAGCCACATGGGTCATGAGCAGGGAGTGGTCAGACCCAGACCCCCCCTTCTTTTTCTATCTCCATTTAAGGATTTTATCCTAAGACTTATACAGGGAAAGATTAGTGGGTAGTACATGGAAGTGCTCCCTCCATCCACCATGTTGAGTGAAGTAATTATCTAATACAAGGGTTTTAAGATCTGAAATTACCATTTTTCTTTCTTGTTTAGTTTGCTGAATGTAACATGACCTACATATGTCTTTAAATGTGCTTTTAACAGTTTGTTAAAGAAATCGATAATGAGAAGAGAATGAGACTTCTGCAGTTTGTTACTGGAACCTGTCGTTTGCCAGTAGGAGGATTTGCTGATCTCATGGGTATGTATATGGGAGTCACTTTTCCCATATCACATTGCTTTACAGAAGTGTATATTCAACTTTTGAATCACATTGCTTTACAGAAGTGTATATTCAACTTAACAAAAACAACAAAGGAGAGTATAGCCATTTTCCTAACTAGTCCTAGCTAACCTGGATTTGTGTGAACTTTTAGATCACTTTGAAGTCCTTACCTCTGTAGAAATGTTTAGCCCTCAGGCTTGAACCCACAATTTTAACTCAGTGGAGGTAGACTGCTGTGTTTAAATCTGTTTTTGATCATTTGCCAGTTTAGTGTCTTTTATGAGGCTGAGACTATTGGTTGTATTATACTGTATTTTAGTGATGTGAGAAGATCGTTGTACAGTGGTAGATTGTAGTTTTCCTATTTCATTTCAAACCATTCTTTGCTATTAGATTGGGAGCTCTTTGAGGTGTAGATCAGTAATGTTCATCATCTTTTTATTTCTGGCACCTGGCACAGTGCTTGTTATAGTAATCACTGCTTAATGTATTATATTGAAATGAATGACTAGGGGAACTTTTATTTCATGACTAAATAATAAATTAAGTAAATTGTAGTATTTCTTTAACACCAACATTTTTCCAAGTTACCACCATAAGAGGAAATGCAGAGAAATTGTGATTCCAAGCCTGCTTTATGTGTAGCAGAGTCAAAATTAGAAGAACTAGACAGTAATTTTGGATGCAAAGTGTAGAACCAGTTTAACAAAGACTTTAAAAAAATCAGACATGCATTGGGAGGTATGAACACTTTTTTTTTTTTGAGTTGGAGTCTCATTATGTCACTCAGGTTGGAGGTCAGTGGCATGCTCCCAGCCACCACAGCTCAACCTGCTGGGCTCAAGTGATCCTTCTGCCTCAGCCTTCCAAGTAGCTGGAACTACAGGCACATGCCAACACGCCTGGCTAATTTTTTGGTATATTGTAGAGATGAGGTCTTCCCAAGTTTCCCAGGCTGTCTCGAACCCATGGGCTCAGGCAATCCTCTCACTTCAGCCTCCCAAAGTGCTGGGATTATAGGCATGGGCCACCACACCTGGCCCGAACACTTTTTTAAGAGAGAAAAACTTGGCTCAAGCCACATTTGAGATTTGATAGAATATATGGGGGACCCAAAATAATGAACTTTATTCATTAAAAATTATGTATTTAAGAATAAACATATTTAAACTTCAGTTGTCTTCAAAGTACTCTCCATTTGATGTAGTACACCTGTTGAGATGCCTTTTCCACTGCTCACAACAGCTTTTGAACTTGTCCATTTTGATACCTTTTTGTTCTTCAGCCATGTTTAATTTCACCTCTTCCACGTTGGCAAAACTATTCTCTTTGAGGACTTTTTCATCTGAGGAAACCAAAAAGTGTTGCTTGGGGTAAGATTGGGTGAATAGAGTCAGGAATGGGGATCATGCCGTTTTTGGTCAAAAACTGCTGAACCTCAGTATGGTTGTGGGCAAGTGCACTCATCAATCATCCATCACAAAATGGGCAAATGTGTTGAAAGAATCGCCACAAAAAATTCACTGAAGTCAGGCTCGGTGGCTCAGCCTGTAATCCCGCGCCTTTGGGAGGCTGAGGTGAGTGGATTGCTTGAGCCCGCGGGTTCGAGACCCGCCTGGGCAGCGAGACCTCATCTCTACAATAAATCGAAAAATCAGCCGGGCGTGGTAGTGCATGCCTGTAATTCCGGCTACTCGGAAGGCTGAGGTGGAAGGATTGCCGGAGCCCAGCAGGCGAGGCTGCGGTGGCCGGGAGCGGCCACTGCACTCCAGTCTGGGCAACCAAGTGAGACTCCAACTCAAAAAAAGAAAATCCACTGAAGCTGAACACACCCTCTCATAACGCTAACTGGTGGTCCACTGATGCTGATAGTTTCCTAGAATACTTATCTAGTGGTGAAGCCTGTACTCCAGGGGTCCCATCCTCCAAAAGATAATTCCAATTTTTGAGGTCCCCCCTCATATAGTGTAGATTAAAATATAGGAAAATCCTAGAGACAGGAAGAAATCATGCATCATTGCAAAGATGATAAGAACCTGATCTTAGGAGATGGAAGTATAAAATAGAAAAGAAGGAATAGATGCTAGCAAAGTTTCACAGGTAGAAATAGAAAGCTTGTTTACAAATTGAGGTATAAAAGGGGAATGTCAAAGATAACTACCATGTTACAGAACATGGAGAAGTTGTAAAGTGTAAAGAGCATGATTTCGATATTAGGAGATGATAATGAGCAGCTGAGAACCAGCTAAGTTTTAGGTGACTGCCAGACAATGAAGTGGATCACCTCGTGGGAACTGCTGTAGAGGTGGTAATAATAGATGAGTTAGAGTTAAGAGTAAAAAGGAGCGTTCAATCATCAGAGCAGTGACATTTGACATTGTGAAAATGAATGGTCTCCTGCAAAAATAGAATACGGAGAAGAGTAGAAAACGGATGCTTAAAAGTATCTGTACATAGGGATGAGACAGAAAAAACCTGGCAGTCACTTCAAAAGAGAATCCTGAGAGAATAAATAAATAGTATAGCCACTCGGAAGCAATTAGAGAGGAGTTTTTTTCTAGTGATACAGAGAACTCTCAGAAGGGTAATTTCTAAGGAATGTTTAGTGAAAAACAGTAAGATTGTGGTTCAGACTGTTAGAGGCTATCTAGTTTATATATTTGCTCTAATTTTCAACTCTTTATTCTTTTTTTACTTTTTTTGCTTTTGTCTTTTTTTTTTTTTTTTTTGAGTTGGAGTCTCACTCTGTCACTCAGACTGGAGTGCAGTGGCCGCTCCCAGTCACCACAGCCTCAACCTGCTGTGCTCCGGTGATCCTTCCACCTCAGCCTTCCAAGTAGCTGGAACTACAGGTGTGCACTACCACACCCGGCTAATTTTTTTGATTTATTGTAGAGATGAGGTCTCACCAAGTTGCCCAGGCAAGTCTCGAACCCCCGGGCTCAGGCATTTCACTCACCTCAGCCTCCCAAAGCGCGGGATTACAGGCTGAGCCAACGAGCCCGGTTTTTTTTTTTTTTTTTTGAGTTGTGATCTCACTCTTTGTCACCTAAGCTGGAGTGCAGTGGCACGATCATGGCCACTACAGCCTCGACCTGCTGGGCTTAGGCAATCCTTCCACTTCAGCCTTTCAAGTAGCTGGAACTACATGCCTGGCTAGTTTTTGTGATTTATTGTAGAGATGAGGTCTCACCAAGTTGCCCAGGTTGGTCTTGTATCCTGGGGCTCAAGCAGTCCTCTTGCCTCGGCCTCCTGAAGTACTGGGATTACAGGCTGAGCCACCACACACAGCTACTTTTGTCATTTTTAATTGACATAATAATTACACATATTTATGTGATACAATGATATTTTGATACATGTGTACAATGTGTATTGATCAAATCAGGATAAGTGGGATGTCCATCACCTCAAGCGTTTATCACTTCTTTGTGTTGGAAACATTCAAAATCTGCTTTACTAATTGATTGAAAAAATGCAATAAGTTAATTATCATTACCCTATAGTGCCACAGAACCCAAGAAATTATTCCTTCTATCTACTTGTAACGTTGTATCCGTTAACCAACCAACTTTTGCCTCTATCACACCTCACCCTTCCCAGTAACCACTGTTGTGTACTCTGTACTTTAGCTTCCACAAATGACTGAGAACATGCAGTATTTATCTTTCTGTTACTAGCTTATTTCACTTAACAGTATCCTCCGTGCTCATCCATGTTGTCATGAATGTCAGAATTTTGTGCTTTTTATGGCCAAATATTATTCTACTGCGTATATATACCACATTTTCTTTATCCGTCATCTGTTGATGAACACTTAGGTTGATCCCACATCTTAGCTATTATGAGTAGTGCATGGAAGTGCAGTTACCTCTTTGACATACTGATCTCCTTTCCTTTGGATAAATACCCAGTAGTTGGATGGCTATATCATATGGTAGATCTATTTTTAGTTTTTTTGTTTGTTTGTTTGTTTTGCTTTGTTTTTTTGAGTTGGAGTCTCACTCTGTCTCCCAGACTGGAGTGCAGTGGCCGCTCCCGGCCACCGCAACCTCAACCTGCCGGACTCCGGCAATCCTTCCGCCTCAGCCTTCCAAGTAGCTGGAACTACAGGTGCACGCTACCACGCCCGGCTAATTTTTTTTTATTTATTGTAGAGATGAGGTCTCGTCTGCTCAGGTGGGTCTCGAACCCGCAGGCTCAGGCAATCCACTTACCTCAGCCTCCCAAAGGCGCGGGATTACAGGCTGAGCCACTGAGCCCGGCTATTTTTAGTTTTTTTAGAAACCTCCATACTGTTTCTCATAATGGCTGTATTATTTGCATTTTCACCAACAAGTTATAATAAAGAGTTCCCTGTTTCTGCATCCTGCTAGCATTTGTTTTTTGTTTTGTTTTGTTTTTTTGATAACGGGTGAGGTGGTGTCTCATTGTGGTTCCTTGACTAGGAAATACTTCCCACTCATTTCTGAAGGGTAGCTTTACTAGGCTGCCATTTTTTTTCTTTCAGAACTTTGAATATTATCCCATTTTCACCTGGCCTATAAATAAAGCTTTCTCTGGAGGTGGCCATCTAGTTTAAAATTCCTTTCATTGCAGGAGGAGAAAGTTGTAGGGGTGATATATAGAATTATTTTATGTGGCAGTTCTTGACCTTAGGGATGATCCAGTATCCCATTTTATTAGTAAATGCTTATAACTTGAATATTCTCTTTTAAGAGAAGATCAGAAGCCATTCTATTAAGCAGTGCTGGAAAAAGAATAGATGAAAAGTTAAGAAATATTAGACTACTCACAATGTGATTCCTTTCATCATAGGATAACCAAGTGCCGTGTTCTTTGCCATGGGCCAAATAAATATGTGTTTTTTATAAATTAAAAAAAAGAAATATTAGACTTAAATGTATATGATAAGAAAAAGAGGGAAATAACCTAAATAAAATAGAGATAATACAGCTGCCAAAATAAGTTGGTCAAAGTTGGTCAAAATATAGTTGGTCAAAGTTGAGACCTTAAGAGTATAGTATCAAAATATATTTCTTCTCTCATGAAATTCCACTATAGGTAAAGCCTCAGAGACCGTATCATCTGAACAGTGGCTGAAGATAGGAGCATAGGTGCAAGAGTCTTCACAGAAGTTATGTGACTTTGAGACTGTGTCAGAGTAAGACTGAAAACAGCAGACAACCTAAAAAATTTCAGTATATAATTTTTACAACTAGACAGCTTATCATTGTTCTAAAAGATTGTAAAAAGCAGTCAGGATGACAGTAACATGGCATATTTGCAAAATAACCTTATTAATGAAATTCACTAAGATTACATTCATATGTCTGCTATTTATTAGTTGATTCTAAGTTTATTAAAAGTAATTCATGCTGGGCGTAGTGACTGACGACTGTAATCCCAGCACTTTGGGAATCCGAGGTGGGAGAATTGCTTGAACCCATGAGTTCGAGACCAGCCTGGGCAACGTAGTGCGATCTTGTCTCTACAAAAATAAAAAAATTAACCAGGCCTGGTGGCTACTCGGGATTGTCTGAGCCCAGGAGATCGGGACTGCAGTAAGCCATGATTACACCAGCCTGAGTGACAGAGTGGGACTCTATCTCAAAAAGAAAAGAAAGAAAAGCAATTTACAGTCTTCTGTATTACATATTAACTTGCACTATTAAATAAAACTCCTTTCTGTGTAGTTAGAAATGCTGCTGGATGTGGTGGCATGCACCTATAATCCCAGTTACTTAGAGGCTGAGGCAGGAGAATCACTTGAGCCCAGGAGCTCAAGCTGTAGTGTGTTATAATTGCACCTGTGAATAGCCACTGCACTCCAGTCTTGGCAACATAGCAAGACCCCATCTCACAAAAAAGGAAATGCTATGAATGGTTAAGTAGGGAGAATATTCAGAGTGAGTTAATGTGTGTTTAATACCATAAAATAGTTTTAACTGCCTTTTTTCATAATAATCATTTTCTATATGACTGAACTTTTTTATAACTACTTGTGAAAACAATTCAGTGTTATTAAATATGAAAGTACTACCAGTTTATATTTGTACTGGGTTTAGTCAGGTGGGATATGAGAAAATTATTTGTGCCTGACAGTCCCACACACTGCATAACATTTAGTGTATCTGGCCTCTTCTATTAAAATGTCCAGCAGCACTACCATTCATTATGACCACCAACAGATATTTCTGGAGAGGATTAACAACTTTTTTTGAAAACCTAGCTGGGAGCAGTGGCTCACGCCTACAGTCCCAGCACTAGGAGGCTGAAGTGGGAGGATTGCTTGAGCCTAGGAGTTGGAGATCAGCCGAGGCAACACAGTAAGACCTCGACTCTACAAAAAAATACAAATACAGATAAATTAGCTGGGTGTGGTGGCATGTGCCTGTAGTCCCAGCCACTCTGGAAACTGAGACTGGAGGATCGCTTAAGCCCAGGAGTTAGAGGCTATGGTGAGCTGTGATCATGCCACAGCACTCCAGCCTGGGCAACAGAGTGAGACCTCAACTTAAAAAACAAAAAAGAAAACCAGTTGTTTATGATCACCATTCACCAGCAAAAAGTAAATGAGAAGCAGGAGTTGGGGTGTTTGTGTGTGTGTGTGTGTGTGTGTGTGTGTGTGTAAGGATATGCCCTACACTATATAGGACCTACAAGTTCTAGCATTGTTAATACTGGTTTCACTAGGGTGTTTACATTTTTTAAAATTCTGTATTTAAATAAAGTTTTCTTGTAACAGACAGTGGACTGTGATTTATTGTGTTTAAAAATTAAAATTAAGTTTTTTGTGTGTTCTTATGTACGCTACTAATTAAGCATTAACAGTGTATTATTCTGGCTAAGTAATGCTAGATAAAAGTACATTTTCTCCTCTTGGGCATACATTAACAAAATGGCTCGCAAACTTTTGCCTCATCAGAATCACTTGGAAGCTTGTTAAAACACACATTGTTGAGCTTTATTCCTACAGCGTCTGATTCAGTATACTGAGTTTAGGGTCCGTGGATTTGTGAGTCTAACAGATTACCTGGTGATAATGGATTGGGAACCACTACACTAAAAAACTGGTGTGATTTCATGTTTTAGGAAGCAATGGACCACAGAAATTCTGCATTGAAAAAGTTGGGAAAGAAAACTGGCTACCCAGAAGTCATACCTGGTAAGTAAAATAAAAAAGAATAGAGAAAATAACCTTTTTAAAGTTATTTGTAGCTATTTAAAACCTGTTAGAAATTAGAAATGAAATATTTTCCTCATGGTACTGAATTATTTTTAGCAGCATTGAGAAATTATTTATATACCATAATATTTACCCATTTTAACTCAGTGATATTTAGTAGATTTTTAGAATAAATCTATTCTGTAACCATGCTGGCAGTCCAGCTTTAGAGCATTTCCTTCACCCTAAAATGACCCCTTATGACTATTTGCAGTCAATCCCTTCTCCAATTTCTGAACTTTTTTTTAAGTATGATGTTTAGAATTTTCTGCAGGCAGGTAAAGAAATCAAAATTAGGAGACCTGCTTTCTAACACAGTGACTAGACATATTATTTTCTCACTTTAAATGTAGTTTAATCATGTTTCTAAAAATGTGCAAAACTAAAAAAACCAACTTTTTTTTTTTCTGAGTTGGAATCTCACTCTGTCGCCCAGGCTGGAGTGCAGTGGTACACTCATGGCCACTACAGCCTCGACCTGCTGGATTCAGACGATCCTTATGCCTCAGCCTTCCAAGTAGCTGGAACCATAGGCGCACGCCACCATACCCAGCTAATGTTTTAATTTAAAAGAGATGAGGTCTCACCAAGTTGCCCAGGCTGGTCTTGAACCCATGGGCTCATGCAATCCTCTCGCTTCTGCCTCCCAGAGTGCTGGGATTATAGACATGAGCCACCATACCCAGCTAAAAAAAACTAACTTTAGTCTTGTCTCAAATACAATAATATATTGAAATTCAATCTAATGTCAGCAATATTTGAGCTTGATTTTTGTGGGATATATTTAGTAGTCCTTGCTGGATATTCCTTTGTTTTTTATTGTCTGTTCCTTTATGTTTTCATACATATACATGCATGTAGTTTTCCTAAGTAATAATTTTATTGATATGTAATTCATAAGGCATAAAATTCACCCTTTTAAAGTGTAAAATTCAGTGTTTTTTAGTGTTCTTAATGTTGTACAACCATCACCACTATCTATTTCCTGGACATTTTTTCCTCCCCTGTAAAAACCTTGGACCCAGTAGCAGTCTCTCCCCATATGCCACTCATGCAGTTCTCAGAAGCCACTAATCTACTTTCTGTCTCTATGGACTTTCCTATTCTAGACACTTAATATCATGAGAATCATACAACATACAGCCTTTTGTGTCAAGGTTCATCCATGGTATAGCATATATCAATATTTCATTCCTTTTTTAGATTAATTTTTAATTGTAGTAAAATATATATAACTTAGGATATTCCATTTTTAAATTGTATATAGTTTAGTGGCATTAAATATATTACATTTTTGTGCAATCATTACCACCATTTATCTCCAAAACTTTGTTCATCTTGTATAATTGAAATAGTACCCATTAGATAATAATTCCTCATTACTCCCTTTCCTCAGCTCCTGGCAACAATAATTCTACTTTTTATAACTTTTGACTACCTTAAATACTTATTATGTGCGGAATTATGCCTTATTTGTCCTTTTGTGACTGGCTTGTTTCACCTAGAATAATGTCTTTAAGGTTTATCCATGTTATAGCATGTGTCCAAATTTTCCCCCTTTCTAAGGCTAGATAATATTCTACTGTAGACCACATTTTGTTTATCCATTTATGCCAATGGACACTTGGGTTATTTCTGCCTTTTGGCTATTTTGAATAATGCTCCTATAAATGTAGATATACAGATATCTGTTAATATCCCATCTTTTGATTATTTTGGGTGTATAATCAGAAATGGAATTGCTGCATCATGTGGTAATTCTACTTTGATTTTTGGGGAAGTCACCATACTGTGTTCCATAGTGGCTGTAGCCATTTTACATTCCTACTGGCAGTGCAGAAGGGCTCCAGCTTCTCCATATTTTCACCAACTCATGTTTTATACTTTGTTTTTTTGAGTCGGAGTCTCACTCTGTCACCCAGGTTGGAGTGCAATGGCATGCTCACGGCTACTATAGCCTCAACCTGCTGGGCTCAGGCGATCCTTCTGCCTCAGCCTTTCAAAGATGGAACTACAGGCACACGTCACCACACCCAGCTACTTTTTTTATTTATTGTAGAGATGAGTTCTTGCCATGTTGCCCAGCCTGGTCTCGAACCCCTCGGCTCAGGCAGTCCTGTCACTTCTTCCTCCCAAAGTGCTGGGATTACAGGCGTGAGCCACCGTGCCTAGCTTTGTTTTATTCTCGTTATGTTTTAATAATAGCCATCTAGTAGGTGTGAATTGGTATCTCATTGTGGTTTTTATTTGCATTTATCTAATGAATAATGATCTTTTCATGTGTTTATTGGCCATTTGTATATCTTTGGAGAGATGTCTATCCTTTGCTCATTTTTAAAAATTTTTGAGTTGTAATTTTTTATTTTTTGGATACCAGTCCATTACCAGATAAATGATTTGCAGTACTTCTTCCCATTTTGTCTTTTTAGTTTCTTGATGGTATCCTTTGAAGCACAAAAGTTTAATTTTGAGGTTTAGTGTATCTTTTTTCTTTTATTGCTTGTGTGTTTGGTATCATGTCTAAGAAACCATTGCTTAACTGAAGGTCACAAATATTTACTTTTATGATTTATTCTAAGAGTTTTATTTTTTAGTTCTTAACATTTTGGGCTGTGATCCATTGTGATTCTGTTTTGTGCATGGTATGAGGTAGGGATCTAACTTCATTTTTTTTCATGTAGATATCTAATTGTCTCAGCATTATTTGTTGAGTGGATAATTTCCTCCATTGAATGGTCTTGGCATCCTTGTGGAAAGTTTTTTGACCATAAGTATATAGGTTTATTTCTAGATTCTACATGGTTTTTTTGTGTGTGTGAGGAAGCAGGATTTATTGAGAGAACAGAAAAGGTCTCATAGTGGAAGGGGACCAGGGGGTTACCCCTAGATTCTGAATTCTATCCTGTTGTTCTATATTTCTGTCTTTAATGGCAGTACCACATTGCCTTGATTACTGTAGCTTTGTAATACATTTTGAAATTGGGTGGCATACTCTCTATAGCTTTTTCAAGATTTTGGCTATTCTGGGCCCCTTGGATTTTCATATGAATTTTGGGATTAATTTACCCATTTCTGCAAAGAGATCAGCTGAGATTTGATATGTATTGCTTTGAATCAAAGCTCAATTTGGGGAGTATTGCCGTCCTGACGATCTGAAGTCTTCTGGTCCATGAACATGGAATGTCTTTCCAATTATTTAGGTCTTTGATTTCTTCCAGCAATGCTTTTGTGCTTTTCATTGTACAAGTCTTATACTTCTTTTGTTAAATGTATTAAGTATTTTACTCTTTGGTGCTGTTGTAAATGATATTTTCTTAATCTAATATTGTTCATTGCTAGTGTATAGAAATAAAATTGATTTTTGTCCATTTATCTTATAAACATGTGCTTTGATTTGAACTCTAGCTCCTTGCTTTTTTCAAGCTTGGAACAGACTGTGCTGTGCTGTAATTACAGTGTTGAACAGCTTATCTCAGTCACACATGAAAACCAGCCTCACTACTTTGTGAGGTTCCATGTTTTAGCTTGCAAGAACTAACAAAAGTCCAAATTGTAAGACTATTTCCCCTTTGTGGATAGCATTTTTTCTTCTATAACAAAACATTTGTCAAGGCCTTATCCTAAAAAAGTAACAGAGGGCCAAGACTTTAGAGCAGATGCATTTATCTGTTATCTTGTAAATGTCCCAAATTAGAAGACACCCTTTAAAAACTCACTGCTAAGAATAGAACAGAGAAATCCAGGAGGAGCAGAATATTAGAGCAGAAAATCATTTCCTTTTT